TGAGAGAGTTTGGAACCTTTTAATACAATTCATACCAACCCAATTTTTCCTATGATAGCTCCATTCAGCACTGACAACTACTTTGCAGGCACACATTAACAGCCATGCCTGAGGCCTGTTCAGAGCTGTGTTACAAGATGACCTGGATAATTATAGGCCTGTCAATCTGACACTGATACTACGAAACATAATGGAGCAGCTGATATGGGGCTCGATTAATAAAGAATTAAAAGAAGGTAATATAATTAATGCCAATTAACATAGGTTTATGGAAAATATATCAAACTAACAATATCTTTGTTTGATGAGATTAAAGGTTTGGTTGATAAAGGCAATAGTGTTGATGTAATACATATACACTATAATACACATACTCTGTAATACACTGTAAAATGTTTGTCTTGTTACTGCACAACATTTTGGTTAAAAAACTAGAACAATATAAAATTATGGCACACATTAAACAGATTAAAAGCTCGCCAATTGATAGGTCTCAAAATGTAATTGTAAACAAGATTCCTCATTGAGTGGGTGTTTCTAGTGGGGTCCTTCAGGGATCCGTTCTTGGCCCAACATAAAATCATTACTGATAAAGTCTTCAGATGACACAACAATGGGGGGAGTGGTAAATAATGAGGACAGGTCATTGATACAGAGCCATCTGGATCTGTTGGTCAGTTGGGTGCAAGAAAACAATGTGCATTTGAAAACAGCTAAATGGAGAATCATAGAACCATAGAATCACAGGGTTAGAAGGGACCACAAGGGTCATCTAGTCTAACCCCCTGCCAAGATGCAGAATTTGTTGTGGCTAACCCATCCAAGATGGATGGCTATCTGGCCTCCTTTTGAAAACCTCCAGTGAAGAAGCTTTTACAACCTCCCGAGGCAGTCTGTTCCACGGTCCGTCTGTTCTAACAGTTAGAAAGTTTTTCCTGAGATTTAATCTAATCTATTATTACATCCAGGAACAAATCATGTAGGCCATACTTACAGGATTGGGGACTCTATCCTGGAAAACAATGACTCTGACAAGGATTGGGGGGGTCGTGGGGATAATCGGCTGAATATGAGCTCCCAGTGTAACACTGTGGCCAAAAGAGCTAGTGTGATCCTTGGATGCATAAAAAGGGGAACCCTGAGGAGGAGCAGAGAGGTTATTTTACCTCTGTTTTTGGCACTGGTGTGACCATTGCTGGAATTCTGTGTCAAATTCTAGTGTCCAAAATTCAAGAAGGATGTTGATAAATTGGAAAAGGTTCAGAGAAGAGCCATGAGAATGATTAAAGGCATCAATTTCTGCGGATTGTAATGACCTCATGTCCCCACAGGACCACCACTTAATCACCTCCAGACCAAACAATTGATCAACAGTGTTGCCATTGACCATCATTAGGTTTAAGTCAGTTCCCTGAGAAACCTCCCAATTAAGCAGATTTGCCAATTAAACTGACTGCAGTTGAAGCAACTATTGAGCAGTCACAAGAACTGGGCTTCTATGGAAAGGGCACCTGGTATCACACCAACTCCACAATATGCACCCTAATCACCCCAAAGTTAATGTTGTGCCTCTGAAGGTCATACACTCCAGCATCTCCGATCCATTCTGCACAAACCCCATCTTGCAGAGGAAGGTGCAGGTTGAGTTATCCGTGAAGTCTCCATGTCAGTGAGAGCAGTTTAATTGACCCCTCTATGGGACAACTAGAACTGGGCACTTTACAGCTGGAAAAGTAAAGCTCAAGTCTTTAACGAAAAAGTCTGGATGTGTCAGAGTTGGTTGTTGGGGGTGAAATGTCAGGGGAATGGGCTGATGGATAGTGAAGTGCCAAGGGTACATGGGTTCATGAAGGTGGGTGTTAGGGGCACAGGGTGCCAGGTGGATGGGCTGACAGAGGTGTGGGTTGCTTGAACTGCAATGTGAGGTTGTTGGGGTCAGAGGCTTCTCCAGCTATAGGCAAGCTAGGCAGCTGCCTAAGGCAGTAGAATCATAGAATCATAGAATC